TAACTATGGATTCTGCTTTAAGGTACAGGCTTAATATTTTGATAGATCAATAAAGCAAGCCTCAGCCTTTTAGGTAAGCTTGAGTTTCTTTTAATTTCTTTAAAAAAAGAGACAGCTTTCTCTTATATATAGGAGAATTTTAGTGGCTTTTATTTCAACAGGTGTTACCTTCAAGATATGCATTAACGATAAACAATGTGCTGTGGCCCTTCTAGCCTAACAAAGCAGGAGGGCCCCGAGACCTGAAAATGCTCTGTGCAGAAGAAGAGCAGAGTAGGACGTGCTGGGTGACCGCGATTAGATTGCTTAAGGTAATCTCACTGAAGGCATGAATTTCTATTAAATGCTGTGAGTACCATAAAAGTTTGAAAATATCTGTAGTTGAAAATGCAAAGAAGAGTGAATCCTAATATGAATCTTTGTGGCTACATGAGAAAGAAGAAAAATAGCCACCACCAAATGCATGTATTTTTTAATCTAAAAGATAAACATTTGCAGAGTAAAGTGGAATGGGCTAATACTTTATCTTTTGTTTATGAAGTAATATTCTGTTCCTAGAAATTCTCTGATTTTTATTTTTTATTTTTGCAAGAGTATTATATCCATAGCCAGTATAACTGAATGGATGTCTCTCATATACAATTTAGTCTGCGTTTATACAACATTGCTTACAATTCAGTGTGAAGTGTGTTTAAAATGTGTCTGCCTAGATATGTTTCATGCAGTTGTTTTATGTTCCATTTAAGTGTTTTATAAATTACATTCTAGCTTAAGAATTACAATTTACTTCTAGTAGAACATCAAAAAAATTGTACAATTTTCCTATGAGCATATTTTTAAATCATCCACTTGGGTGTTAAATGGAAATTACAACTTCCATAAGCATAATTTGTTGATGAGCATTTGGAAATGAGTAAGAAGCTTCTAAAGGTAGATACATGTAGAAAAGAGATATAGAACTGATTTCTTTTATAATGTATTGAAAGCACATGTTTATTCAATTTATTTTGAAACTTACATGCCAGTAAATTTACACAACTTTACAGTTATCAAATTAATCACCCATTTCCTTATAAAGACACTACTTTGATAATCACAATTGGGGTAAAAATCATGAATTTTTTTTTGTTTTTGAAAAAATAAAATACAAAGAGTATGTCTGTGCACTTTATTT